AAATGAGACATTTTCCCGCGGTAAATAGTATTCTATATGTTGACCCGGATAACCAGCTATCACCATACCAAATTTCATCAAAATGCCTCCAGTGGTTTTTCCGTGATGCGATAACAGACAGACAGACAGACAGACAAAAATTCTAAAAACTATAGATTTGGCCTCAGCATCGATAATACTATTTCAATAAGATTTTCCAAAAAATATTTAATGTACAGATTCGACTTAGTTAGAATTTTATTATATGTATAGATATCACAGACCAATTTTTAACAATATGTTGTCCAATATTAATCGAACGAACTTTATATACACTGTCTAATGTCAGTGTTATATAAGTATATAATTTTAAATAATAAAAACGAAACTCGACTCGCTGAAATAGACGTTTCACGTTAATCCAATGACGGTGTGCCCGACACAGCCCCAACCGATGTTTTTGTTTTTTTTCTTTCACTTTTATTGCTTTCACTCTGTTGTTTTTGCTCCTATGAGGATCGATGCAATCTGTGATGTAGTGATTTACAATTCCATGCTATACTGAAAAAACATATGAGTTGTTCCTATAAAAACATAAATTGATAAAGAACATTTGATGTAATGTTCATACTGAAATTTGTTATTTTTAATATCAATTCATAAATGACTTTAAATATTCACTTTCTTATTAATACACAACTGCAAAAGAAAAATTTCATTGAATTAATTATGACTTACTTATACGTAGGGCGTTCATTATAAAGTGAGAATGAGGTATAACTACCAACTCTTTGGAACCGAAGAAAGTTAATACTGGTAAAGCTGGAATCTTGATTTTAAAAAGGAAATAATTTGAATATCTTTTGTTTTTTTTTTAAATGCGAGTCTTGCTTACAGTCTGTCGTAGCGTGTTGTTTAAAATAGAAAAAAAAGTGATTTGTGCGCGATACTTAAGTATCTGCGCTTGTACAATTTTACTACAGAACGAGTTAATCAAGACCTACAGTATAGTTCAGGAGCAAAAGCTCCACCGTATGTACAAACAGTACTGTTGCACGTTGGTACGCTACCAAGGATGACCCTCGCTCGGGTCGCACCATATTGGTAGTGACCGAAGAAATGGTTAAAAAAGTCGAGAACATTGCTTTAGCAGATCGTTGTGTCACGAAACGTTTTAAAGCCAAAGAAACAAATATTTCGACTGATAGTGTGCATAGTGTGTGGGCATTTTACATGAAAGCTTTGGAATGAAAAATGTATCCGCGTGCTGGGTCCCCAGAATGCTTACTGATGCACAAAATCAAACCAGGCTGAATATTTCTCGAGCTTCTTTGAAACTGTTACAGCAAAATCCTGATTGTTTTTTGTCTCAATTTTTAACCACGGATGAATCATGATTTTTCCATTATGATCCAGAAACCAAATAGTAAAGCGGTGGTCATAATAGAATGTCACGACCATGGACCTACTGTTACTTGATCTTCAAAACAAATAAAAAGATTGTGTAGCGAAATTCGAGAAACGGCGAGGCAAACTAACAAAAACTGTTTTGTACCATCAAGATAATGCCCCGGCTCACAGATCTGTTGTTGCTATAGCTGGTATTTGAGATGCTGGCTTCGAAATACATGAACATCCTCCATATTCACCCAACCTTGCCTCTATGATTTCTATCTATTTCCAAGGTTAAAGGAGTTTCTGAGAGGACTGAGATTCAAAAATAAGGAAGCAGTAGTCGCTGCAGTACAGAAATTTTTAGGAGCTCAGGATGAAGAGTTTTTTCAGAAAAGAATTTTTAGCTTAGAAAAAAGATATTCCAAGTCTATTATGTTAAAAGGAGACTATATCCAAAAAATAAAATAACTTTTAATACAAGTTCCCGACAACATACTCATTTTTTAACCGACTTCAAAAAGGAGGAGACTATCCATTCCATTCGTATTTTTTATGTATGTACACCGATTACGCCGAGATTTATGGTCGTGATACGTGTTTCTTCTTTAGTTTGATGCGGAATAGCTGCCATTTAGTCCCATAAAAATTTTACATAGTTTGGTCCAGTAGTTTTCATTTTATGAACTTTTTTGTTTACGTGGACGATGTATTTTTAGTTTGTGTACGACTTTTTTAGGAGTTTTCATTTAGGTTGATTATATATTATTATTAACCCGTGTCCAGTTAAGTGGGTATTAAGCTACCTGTCATTGAAGCGGAGCGAGCGTGCAGAGTACAGAAACTGAGAAATATTATAACCAATCATTATATTATTATCTACTGTAGTTTACAAAACAACCTATTACAGACATTAAAAAGTAAAAAATAAAAAAACTACGTTTAAATAAACGGACTGCCTTTAGTATAGATTACTCAGATCGCGGCTAGTGTAGGTTGGTACCTACAATTACATTTGGCTTGGCACCAATTTCAAACCTATCAATAGGTAGCACATGCAAATAATAGTATTTTATTAATATTAAAGGTTAGGCTTGCATAAGAGGTGTATTAAATTAAATCTTTATTAAGTTATTTTATATACTTAAAATTATATATTTAAATCATTTTATATACTTTTTAGTTTTAGAAATCGGTTTTTTTAAACGTGGTTTTGATTTATATTGAATGCCGCTCATATAAAATACAACTAAAAAAATATAATATTACACACATTGTACTTTCACAAATATTTTTTCCGCCACTAAAAATAAATACGTTACACTTTTTTATTCATTTGTTATTTTAAACTTAAATGCATAGATACATATAATAAAATTCTGAGTCGAATCTGTACATTAAATATTTTTTGGAAAATCGTATTGAAATAGTCATTTATTTTCGATACAGAGGCCGAATCTATATAGTTTTTACAATTTTTGTCTGTCTGTCTGTGACCGCATCACGAGAAAACCATTGGACAGATTTTGATAAACTTTGGAACCATGATAGCTATTTATGCGGGTCAACACATAGGATACTTTTTACTGCGGGAAAATATTTCATCTTTAAGAAATCTATACTAATCTTAAAACTTAGGGACGAACCCGAGCCGAGTGAGGGTGAGTCGCTAGTCAAAGATAAAATGTTTCTGAAAAGACAGCTTGTACTATGTTGTGTTTATGTGCTATTAATTGTATTGGATTTCTTATTATTTATTGCTATTGGATTTCCTTAACATCCCTAAGGCATTTTTATTTTTTTATATTGAATAAAAACTGCGGCTGAAAATGAAATCAATATAATATAGAAATAACATCAATTACATTACTATTATATACATTTTAACTGTCTGTTAATTATCATAATTGCGCTTTACATTCAATCCCTGTTCCATTGGTAAATTAAATTGGAAACAGATAATTAATTAATTTACTGTGCAGATGGACATGGCGTATACTACGGTAATATTACATATACATTACCGTGCGTATACATTTCGGTTTCGTAAATGCTGACTCGTCTGATTTTAATCTGGGCAAATGTTGAAATTAATACTCAATAATATTTTACGTTTATTTTAGAATTTGAGTAATATTTTTTGATCTCTTTTAATACCATGAGATCAGGCCATAGCTCGCTTAGCAAGTGCGTGTTGGCGGACTTCACATGTGTCTTTTGAAATTTAATCAATAGGGTATAGTTTCTATCTAGCGATTGATATAAAATATTCTTAATTGTATTTATCAGTGGAAATCTCAAGTGAATGAATATTCGCGTGACTGAACAGTTCGCTTCACTTCAACGTATTCGCATTTCAATTAGCTGATAGGTACTCGTAGTTCCCATTTACATCCATGTTAATTAAACAGTTCTGAGATATGTAAACACGCTTAAAGTTTACTGACTCTACGTAATAATAATTGTAAAATGAAATATTATAATAATGTCAGCATTGTAAAAATATTTTTATAACAAGTCCTTTAGCGTTCCATAAAATTTCTTAATAACTTTTTTTATAATTAAATAATTTTGTGCTTCATGTCCATGGAATGAACCCGATGAAAAAGGCGAGCCTACATAATATTATTAGATAATAATAGATCAATAGTAAAAACATTTTTTTTTAAATTATATTTAAATGCTCTAAACTCCCTCTTTCCTTCCTTTTTTAAGTTACTTTAAAACTACATTCTTATTTTGTTTATCTTTGTGCCCGCAGCTACCCACGCGTAGACTAAATTATCTCAGTTTTAATTTCCATTGAATTTATATGTCATAACGAATTTGTAATATTATGTGTACATTCATATAATCACTATAGATTCACTTAATTTAATCTAAGTGTGAGCAGCAACCGAACAGCAATCGTCGTTAAGCGACTGGCCCTTAGAATTATTAATGGTCATTGCAAAGCAAAAAAAGGAGGAATTACAAATAAAATTCAAAGGCGTAGTCAAAGGTTATCAGTGATATACAACACTGGCTACTATAATGTTTCATGGATTACTCGCTGTCTAGTCGCTTTACACATAGCTTAGGTGGCTTGTTCATTACAGATTTTCCAACCCTCAGGAGGAGTATATGAGACAGGAGGTCTGGTTGGTTAACACTGCTAAGGACCTGCACAGTATATACAACTGCTTCATCTATTTGCATCACTGTATCGACAAATCTAAATTCTATCTCTGACTCTTCAAGTAACTAAAGCAGAATGTTATCAAAAGCGGTAGCACTATTGTATTTGCGTGGTCAGTGTAGCAGTTTCACAAAGCCAAGCAAAGACTTCGTTTGTATATTAGAAATTTCAGGATACACTCTAGCTAGGTTCTCTCTCTCTCTCTCTCTTTCTCTTGCTCTCTCGGTCTGTTATAACTGTCACGATGGATTTTTATACCCACTTTTCCACCTATTTTTCCCATTTACGGGATGAATTACAGAAAATATTAAAACACATATTTATTTAATTGACTTGCTTTTGCGGGGTTCCAAAATTATTTTCACAATCGGTACCTACTATAAGTATTAGGTACTATGTAATAGGTATAAGTATTAGGTACTATGTAATATAATTATTTTATTTTTTGCAGCTCGCTACCCGAAGGACAGCCTGATGCAAGAAGCAATTTCAAACATTCAAGATCGAATGGATTTTTTGGAAAGCCTTTACTTGGTCCGTCATGAGGATATTATAGATTTACAAGTAAGACTTAACTAGTACGGTGGTGTGAGAAATAGTAAAAACTGTTGTTCTTAAATAATTTTATAGTATAATGAAAATTTTAATAAAATCTGAAAATAAAATTATTTTCAGGATAGTGCAGATGTGAACAGAACCAACTCGCACGGCACCTTACTACTTAGGACGAATAAAAAGAATTCTATTTTGAAACCTGAAATTATTGCGATGTTAAGGAATATAAGTGGTAAATTTTGCAGATAAACTGGCCTTCTGCGAATTATCATTGATAGTATTATTGAAAGATAAGCATTGTACAAACCGCTTTCATTTGAGAAGCTAAAAATTTAAATTATTATATAGAGTAGCTACTACATTCTCGTTATTTATAAGGGTAATAAAACGTTTCCGTTAAGTCGTATGCGCAATGCGAAATATAGTGAACATATACCTATAATGACATAAGCTGAAAAGCGCAAAAGTAATATGTAGATATATGTACGTATACAATATAAAGCAAGACATACGTATTTTTCATAATATGTTTTAGTTACGCATACCCTTATTCTTCGAGAAGTCCTATCTTATCACTAATTACGCTATTATACTTCCCAATAATTACATTTTTAAATTAAACAAAACAAAGAATTAAAAATTGAAAAGTACCGAGTGAAAGTCGAACTTATAGGCAAAAGCAAAGATTGTTGTTACTTTATTTGCATATTTTTTACAATATTTTTTTACTATATTATCGGTCATAGAAAATAGCAAGTAGGCAATCTATTTTATCACTTAATGATGAGAATATACTCTAACATTCAAGTACTCCGCGCATGTCACTACTGACGATACAGAAGTGTATAGATTAAAGAGAATCTCATTATATTAACATTCCTTTAGAATATCAATGTCATATGTATTATAATATGTATGTATTATAGTATGTATTATAATAGCATTACTTAACGATATTTATTAATTCAAATAATTAAACACGCTTACAGTTTTATTAACACCTCCAGGTAAATTTCTAAGAAATAAATTGAAATTCTAAGAAATCTATTGTTAACTGACACGCCGGCGTGTCCGCGGTCGTGAAGAGATTAAGAATATGACCCTCATTAGCTCAATCAATATACCTAAGCATTCTTATTATATGTTACTAAAGAAATGTAAATACATAAAACAATATGATAAGTATAACTTATCAATTTAAACCGAAAACTCATTTTAGCAAGCTAGAAGCTCATAGCTACGAGTATCTTAGAGCTTATGCGATTGAATATTTAAGCTTCGCGAATTGCGATGCATCGGTTGCCATAAATCGATTGTGGCAATTGAAAGCTACGAGTATACCTACTTAATACAGCATATGTAATGTAATTAAAATATTGCGTACAGGCATGCGAGCCGCCATGGGAGTGCACACGAGTACGTCGGCAGTAATGCAAACATCTTTTATCTATAAACTACTTTCTCATCTGATGAATGACGCTGCTGCCTTACGTCCAGCTTACCACATGACGGCTGGACGTAAGCTTGCTGATGTTGTGATCGGCATACCTACTGTAAAAAGAGATAAGGAGAGTTACCTCATGGTTACTTTAACGGTGAGTTGTTTAATATTTTATTAGTGTTTAATTAAAAACCATGTTCGGTTAATTTATTGTCATTACTTTCTTAAAATTTAAAAAGATATTTTTTTCGTTAATATAATGGAAAAAAAACATATAGTGTGTAGTTTGACAGATTTAAACTATGAGAAATGTAACACAGAATTAGTTCAAAATCATCAAACTTAGTCGGGTGTTTTTTTAAATGACACTAGAAAATTATCCTTTCCCATACAAAATTTACTACTTCTTTAGAGGTTTAATCTTAAAAACATCCTTTCTTAATGGGTACCTATGTAAATGGAACTGTCCATGGAAGTCTCGTCAAAATCCGTCCAGCCGTTTCGGAGATTAGCCAGAAAAAACAGCCATACAGACAGATTGACGATTTTAAAAATTGTGTTCTTCTTATAAGTACGGTCTATAATTTCATATGCATTTACTAGAAGCTTTTATTTTAAAATTACAAATAGACACTTCTGTTCTGTTTTATTTATCTGTATAGATATAAATTTACCTATACAAAAAAAAAGATTCTTATAACGAAAAGTACATGATATGCTTGGCGTGAGACCTATTATTGTTGATCAGTTCTATTTTTTTAAATAGTTTTATATAATTTAGTACATTATATATAGTCTAGGCTTAGTTTAGTTATATGGAAATATAAGAATTGTATGTATCTCTTGCTACATCAAATCATTGCACTCCATTAATTTTGCTTTTTTGGTACTTTAAAAAGTATTCTAATCTAATCTTGCAAGTTGATTTCAACCTACTTCTAACTGTGCTATCGACTTCAAATATTTTATGTAAAACGCAAATAACAGTACATAGGTACCAACAATAATTTAACATTGGTTCATAAGTTATAGTAAAATCTTCAACATTGGGCTCATTTGTTCTGTTGTATCTTCATAAAATTATTTTTGATGAACTGTAGTATATTTCACTATATTTATTTGCACTTCACAGAACTTTATTAAATTTATTTTATATGCAATTTTCCTTAACTAATTTTTTTCTGTAAAAACTGGAATTGACGTTTTATTTCATTTCACACACAAGACACATCGCATTTTGTAGACAGACGACAAGACGGTCTAGATTAACAGCAATGATTTCGATTTGGACACTAAAATATTTCATAAAACTCATTAAAAATAAAAAAATCTAAAGAAGTATAACTTCAAAAATATTGAAATATTGTTTTTTTTTTGTAAGTAAACGGTCAATCAGTTTTCAGTCATTATTATTTAACGCTTCAATTAAACAATTCTTTAATTGAAGCGTTAACACAAAACAGCGAATATTGAATATTGCAAAACAATTACGAGGTGCAATTCAGCGTACAGCTGGCTACCATTAAATATGAAATCACAAATTTTTATTTCACACATACATTTTAAAATTGATTGCTTGGACAAAAGGCACAATGCTTTATACACATTAAAAGTATAGACTTAACATTATTATTTATTTTTTTCCTAATTTTGGAATGTTATCTTTTATATTTTTATTGAATATTATATTTATACTTAAAATTTACCCTCGCTTTGCTTGGGTGCGTTCTGAGGTACTTTTTATTTATTTTTGAGCAGAACCCTAATTCTTTTTCTAAAATAAAAGTAGCCCAAGTTACTCCTTATAACATCAGCTATCTGGCAGTGAAAGTCATGTCAAAATCAGTTCAACCGTTTCAGCGATTAGCTGGAACAAACAGACAGACAAAAATTTTCAAAATTGTGTTTTTCTTATAAGTCCCGTAGGTATATAATTTCATATGCATTTAGTAAAAAGCTGTTATTTTTATATTACAAACATACACTTCAATTTTATTTAGTATAGACGACGATAAGTAAGATAAAGGTAAGAAACGATAAAGGTTGAGACTTTCTTTAATAATAAAATTATTTTTGAAATATTTCTAGCATTTAATCCACGGTTTGACAGCAAAAGATATCAACAACACGCTTATAGTTGTGTATGTGGGCGAAACTGACTTGGAATACGTTCTAGATATAGCGAGGCAAATTGAAATTATGTAAGTATTTTATACGTATTATAAGAAATACGAGTAGGTTGAGAGTACCCTCTCTATTTTACACATTCATTATACTTTTATATTTTTTATTTTATACATATTTTTAAGTATCTTAGTATTTTATTGAACATATCTTTATTTTTATAGTATTTTATTAGAACACATTTTTATTACAACACAAGCACTTTTAAATCGAAAGTGTATAAGTATTTTTATTCGATGATCTGGCTCGGCTGGCTAGAAATGCAATTACAAGCCGATCGCGATGGTAGCCTAGTAACTTTGTTACTAGAGAGTAAAGTACTGGCGAAAAATTAAAATTTGCTGTTTTAATTTTTTTAACTAAGGTATATTTCTTATAAAATGTGGTAGAGGTAGATTCTTTGTGTCAAATGGTCCTATATTTTAAGAATTTTAATGTATCTACACTTCTGGAGCAGATTATTTGAAATTTTATTTTAAATATCTGAGACCACATAAACTTCTTTTCACATTTTTCAGTCTAAAAGAAATGACTACAAGCTTTACCTTACATTTAAAGATGTAATATGTATACGTTTGTCACAATATAAAATACAGGCAATTAGTTTTACCGCTATCAAAATCGATTAGAAATAAATTAATCCACCGTTAAAACTTTACTATTTAAACCAGTACATATATTAAGAATAATAATTAAATATGAATATTTTGTGTGCAGGTTTCCTCACCATGTAGAGAGTGGTTTAATTGAAGTAATTTCTCCGTCACCGTCTTACTACCCCGATCTAGAGAAGATACCCGAAACGCTGGGTGACTCTCACAAGCGCGTTAAGTGGCGGACTAAGCAAAATCTTGACACTATATACCTAATGGCATATGCGCAGTCTAAGGGAACCTTTTATTTGATGCTTGAAGATGATGTTATTGCGAAAAACAACTATATGCAGGTGAGCAAATTCTTGAAATTGAATACGTAAAAAACCGTTTTACGACGCTCTTTTTGTTTAATTATGTACATCACTAGACACAGCCACTTTACCATAAAAATCATTTGTAGTCATTAATATAACATCACGGCTACTGAAATTTTACCTTTTGTGTTTAATTTCGCAGTACTTCATTAAAAGACTCACCAAAGTGTAAAAACAAAGGTGTCACGCACGCTTTTGTAAATACGAGTACTAAAGTTTCCTCAAACGAACGAATTAATTAACATCGATATGCCTACAATTTTATTGAACTCACATTATTCGATGTGGGAATATAAAAGTAATAACAACGAGAATAAAATATTGCATTAACAAAATTTTCAGAACAAAACAATGCACACTCTTAATAATTTTGCTCTCTGTGATAGTATATAATATTATGTATGTACGTCGTACATTGTATATCATACATATATTGTTTATGACTGAACAACAATCAGTTGTTTAATTTATAAATACAGTTACTACACTTTGTTATATAGAGTGCTCTTTATACCTATTAGATTTTTTCTTAAATCGATTTAAATAAAAATATAGAAAATACTTACTACATAATTTTATAAGATTAGAATATCAAATATTATGCGAGCAAAGCGAATACTCAAACTTATTTTCACTAGCATTGCCCGCGGCTCCGCCCTCGTTCAAACGACTAAAAACCAAATTCTTAGATTTTACATATTAGTATATATAATACCAATTTCATAGCACACCGCAAGATTGGAAAAATTCCACAAAGGAAATGCAATGCCACATGTTATTGATAGTGCCACAAGGGTTTCTCCAATCTCACATTTAATTTAGTAATATTTCATATTTCGGTTTCAATATAACATTTTTAGTAAGATATGTATATTTCTATACTGATATATTGTCTAGCAAAGATTTTTTGTTTATTTGTAGGTGAAAACTCTCAAACTACTGAATCAATTTTGTTAATGAATTTAAGAGTTTTGCTAGTGACTCACCCTCGTCACGGTCGGGTTCGTCCCTAGTTTTCTAACAGACGAGATATTTTTCCGCAGTAAAAAGTATCCTATATATTGACCCGGATAACCAGCTATCATCATACCAAATGTCATCAAAATCTGTCACGTTTTCTCGTGATGCGTTCCCAGACAGACAAAAATTCTAAAAAGTGTAGATTCGGCCTCTGCACACATAATGTCTATATCATTCTAAGATTTTACAATAAAAATATAATTTTATTATATGTATAGACTAGCATCTAAATATAACATGAAAGCTTCAAAAAGAAATGTCGATCATTAGGAAAATTCTATATGGAATTGGAAAAAGCATTATTTGTTATTATTGTAGAACAGCTAGCGATCTACCACAAATCAAGGCTTTATTTTTAGCTCATAGTTTTACCTGAGTCCTTTTTTTCTATTTATGTTTCATTTCCTTTCCTTTCTATTTATGTTTTGTATTTTTTTACCTGCGATTTGACGCTTGTGCATTACATCTTATGGCTACAACAAATTTTTAACCAATAGTGAGCAATATCTACACATTTACCTTTTACATTATGGTATCCATTTTCGTATTATCAAAATGTGTTTTCATACAGGTTCAATAAATTTTTATGCTAGGATATTTTCGAAATAATTAATTTAATATACTCGTAATATAAAAAAATAAGTCACAGGTGGGTGTAGAGAATTTAATTAATTCCTAATTCGGCTTTATAAATAGCCGCATTAAGATAACCGGTCTTCACATAGACAATCAAATAGTAATACTAAATATTATAATTTAAATTTTCTTGTGATTTCCCCTAAATAGTCGAATTTCGAATATCTCAAACGTACATGATTCTTTATAATTATGGATACCTATACTCTTGTACTTTTATATAAATAAATATTTTTAGCCGCCGCTGCAGAATTTTCTTTTGTTTTTATTCTTATTAAACAATTATTATGTAATTTATGATACTAAATACGTAGCCTATAGTATTGCTGGCGTTGCTCTTTCGTTACCAAAATGTTTACCGTTGCCAAAGTTTAGTTTGTAAAATGCGAAAATATTTTAATTTTAGTTGGTCACAGTAGAAATGTCTTCGTTTCAGGAAATAAAGCATTTTACGGCAACCTCATCCATTTCTACGCCAAATTGGTATATATTAGAATTCTGCCATGTTGGTGGAATTGGAAAAATGTTTAAATCGGCTGAACTCATTAACTTTATTATTTATGTTCAGCTTTTTTATTCTAATATGCCTATTGATTGGCTTATGGAGAGTTATCTGGCGGATCGCGTGTGCGCAATTGATAAGGGATCTGTAAGTAAATAAATATCATAAATATTATAAAATAATTATAGATTGATAATTAAATTTTAATATTTACTTTTTTTCACAGAACGCTTGTACCAAGAACAAGCTGCAGATCTGACCCAAGTATAAGTCGTCCTTATTTCAACATATCGGCCTGTACTCATCTCTGAAGGGAAAGATACAAAAAGTTAAGGTACGTGTTTAATCAATTTCTTATTTATTGGACTGAAAAAAATACGCCACTTTCATTCCATATATGTATGTTTATAATATTATTCTAATACTTTTATAAAAGGTACGAAAAATACGTCAATAAATATAAAATATACTACAAAGACAGTAGATACAAATAAGTTATTATGTTATCATATTTGATATCTTGAATTATTGGAGACCATGAAAAAGCAAAATATTTCAACTCACACGAATCCAATTTGATAACTGGAACATCATATGTGACTTCCAGTAAAATCATAATTGACATCGTTGCTCCACGACAGGTGTTTGACTTTCCACGTTAAAAAAAAAACAGAAGTTTTATTACAAATATTTTATATTGTATTGTATGTGTATAATTGTAGTTTTCTATTTTTTTCTTTCCCTTTAAGTTATTGTTTATATTTTTTATTTTTAGCTTCATAAATTATATGTAATGTACTATTTTTAGGATCCACAATTCAACTTGCAGCCTATATATTATCCACATAATAATCCTCCAATGAAATACATACGCACAAGTATTAAAGAACATTCAGAGCACACTTTGAAGAAAGCGTACGAAGGACAAACTTTTTTTTGGGGTGTGAAGCCAAAGGAGTGCGATACAATTGAATTTTGGTTTGCCAAGCCCACAGTCGTTACAAGGTCATTATTACAACAACATCTTATAAAGACGTGCATTCGTAATCTACATATTCGCAATCTACTGCTAGTTAGAAAACTAAGCAAACACACAAAACAAATCTAAAATTGTAACTAAGCCGAATCTGAATATTGTATTAGATTTTGTGATAAATCTTATTGAAATAGTCATTATTATCGATACAGAGGACGAATTTATAGTTTTTAGAATTTTTATCTGTCTGTCTGTGACCGCATCACGGAAAAGCAACTGGAGGGATTTTTATGAAATTTGGTATGGTGATAGCTGATTGTTCGAGTCAACGTATAGATAACTTTTTACTATGGGAAAATATCTTATTTTTGAATAAAATCCAAAAACTGGTTGGAATAAAACCACACTGAAACTATAACCATTTTACAAGGTAATTTACAAAATAATGCAAAAAAATACTATAAATAGCTTCTCATGTAAAAAACTATATCAATAGGCTTTAGCCATTACCATTCGTTAAATTCACTCCAAGAATTTTTGTAATATATATTTGTATAATAGATGTCATCATATGTTTTAAAAATAATTTTATTAAAATAACTAGCATTACCCGCAGCAAAAACAAATTATTCAGCCTTATTTATTAGTAGTATTTTGTTAAGTGAAACAATTTTCAATTCATGAAAATGTTTGTGCTATCGTTTATCAAATAATGCTAATTTTCGCAAATCTTTTTATATAAAAATCGGGAAAGTGCAAGTACGACCCCGTGAGCTAAATATTGTTGTTTTTACTTACGTATTTCGTAAATTTAACATTAAAATAAAATACAAATATTTACGTTTTTACAATATCAACCAATGTATCGATCGTAAGAAAATATTCGTATTTCATACAATTTTTTTACATATTATGGAAACAAAGTTAATTTTGAGGTTGCTAAATTAATAAAGCGAGTAACTGAAAATATTCCATACCTCAAAAACTACTTAACGTTCATTCTGCAGAGTAATTTTCGTTGAGAGAATTTTGACTACAAAAGGTAAAGGAGGCACCGTCCTCCTTTATCTTTCGAAAAAGTCGTGACACTATGCAATGTTTAGGAATTTAGAGTCATATAACTCGAACACATCCCTCTACAAGATACAGTACTCTACATTCTTCATTGTAGTTGTGGACTCTCTTACACACATTGGACAAACAAAGAGATCTATTAGAACTCAGGTCAAGGAACACATAGCTGATGTGAAGCACCGTCGAAATACTAAGTCTGCGGTCTGTCAGTATAGTCAGGATCATCCATTCGATTAGAAAAACCTCGTGAGAGTACATCGTTATAGCCCTAGAATGGTTGGTGAAGCTATTGAAATTAAAGAAACTTGAAAATTTCAATAGTGAAGGTGGCTAGGTGCTACCATCGTCGTGGGTCCTGCATATATATAATAAAATTAAGCACAAATTATTTTACAAAGTATGAGCTGAATATTTCTTTTCATTTTTATTACAGTTACACTTTTCGAAGCGGTAATGTAAAGCATACATCGTATAAGTTTTACGATACTGCAGTCGAAGTGTATCCAGAACGTGCAAGAAATTTTACTACTGTGGATTATTTTGATGAGTTCGGCTTAGCTGATGGGAAGTTGAAACACAGCATTGGACCACTTCTAGCAATGCGCTTACGTGTTAATAAGAACAGCTTTTTCGAGGTTATTCTGAGCGAAGTAAGTAATTTCTTTTTACTTATATTATGTATGTCTCCGACTGCATAATACTTTATTCTTTCGTCAACTCGTTTTAATCTTTTTATTTAACTTTTATGCAGTCGCGTTTGTTTATTTTTAGAATTTTTTTTATTAGAGATATTTTTCTAGCTTAGCACAAGAGCCGCGGGTTCTGCTAGTATGTACCTAATACATAAAAATTAAAGTAGGGATTCTATTATAATATTTTCATTGTAGCATAGTGTTGGCGACATTTGTGAGACTATTCCTTTTCACTAATGAATGTGGCTATGATTTACAACATGTAGTTAGTGAAATAAATTTGACCTACGAGTATAATAGGTAACTCTGTTTTTGCTTTAAAATATCTAAAAAACGATGCAATTGTTGGTGTTGGGCATTTACCTTCTACTTATAACCTGATCTCTAATACCTATTAATTTATTATTAATTTTAGATCGATATAAGGACGGATGAAAAAGGAAGCATAACCTCTCAGGCGTTGCCTAATTCACCCGTGAAGAAATTTAGGCAACAGGATCGTCCACATCGCAAACCATTTAGGAAGTTAAGAGTCCTCGGACAAATTAGTGTTTAAAATTTTAACTAAATGTGATTTTTTCGTAATATCATAAAATATTACTTTCAATACGTGGAATAATACGTTGTATGTAACACCGATAGCGTTTACGAATTTTAAAAATACTATTATCGATGTTGTGGTATTAAATGTGTGTATTAAGGACCATTATTTTACGCTTGCAAAGTTTCTATCATCTATATTTATTTCTATATTTATTAAAAACGTATAAAATATTCTTAATTATATAACATATTTTTTGCTGGATTACCGAAAATGTTCGTATTAACCGTGCACATAAAGAATGTGATTGCAAATGGCGTCGTTACATTGTTTTATTTAACGGCTTAGATATGCTTTTATAATTAATATTTACATCTTAATAAATAACAAACCTTGAATAATATTTTCTATTTTAGATACAAGAAACCTTCATTGGTTTTAATCCTTGAATTTGAATCTATATATATATATATATATATATATATATATATATATATATATATATATATATATATATGGACGAAAATTAATCTATGAATATTATATATATAAACCCTAAGCGCCGCCATTTCTTCTTTTTCTTTATTTGCATGTGTAATACCTATCTACGAGTATATATATGTGTTATTTATCATCTTTAAGTTAGTGATATAAATTATAATATCGTGGCAAAATCTACACAAAAACTGTTTGTGATCTTAATATAAGTGTCTATCTATACACTTCTAGGTTAAGTCTTAGTATATATTATATTTAAAGGAAATTTACAAACTATACAATATTGTCATTGATTCTTAGGCGATATTTTAGTCACGAATCAATTACAACATTTATTTATAATAAACCTTGATGTTTTAGAATCGTATATTTATAAGATATATAAGAAAGCTTGTCTACGAGTATTTGGCATATAAATATTCTTTATGTATTTAGTTTATGTTAAAAAAAGGTGTTTTAAATCTCATTAATAATTTCTACCTGTTTATTATGGGTCCAATGTTTTACAATTATTTTATTTTCATATTATATTTAAGAAGGTCAAAGTGTGGTGAATCGCTTGAAATTTAATCAGAAAAGTCTACAGGGACATGTGTGTGATGGTTTTTCGAGGATTGTGCTCGTGTATTCTGTTATTTTTATTATAATGTAAGCTCATTATTATAAATGACTCTAATTATATTTAACCTGTCTATATTCATTTAATATAATATAGTATAACTATTTTATAAAATTATTAGAGTAAGTTAATTTATTTTCTTTTATACAAAAAATGTAATATTTATAAAATTGTGCTTAATATTCTTTTACTCTCTATAATGTATCTATTGCCTAATGAAGTTTCTCTTCGGCTTTAGCTTGAGACAATAATGTCACATTTTTCAATAATAATTAATAACGCCTATACATTTGGAAACCTTATAGGTACATTAAAAGGAAAGACTTTTGATTATAAGAATTCCATCAAAGGTAATAAGTATTAAATAAAAATTAAAAAACCCGACTGTGTAAAAAAACAAACTACGAAGAAGAAAACAACAAAGTTGAAGAAATAACATAGTATTACGCAGTCGGAGACATACACGTAGCAAGCTTCGCAGCAAGTAACATACATGTCATTAAAATCGGTTAAATTGCTTAGTAATTTCTAGGGAACATAGGATCGGATATACTTACATACATACAGGCCAAACACATAACCATCCTTTGGGCATCGCTACAGTCAGGCAAAAATTAAAAAGACAACTATAACTGTTTTTATAACCTATCATCGATTTGTGACATAAAACGTTAAAACATCTATTGATTCCTAGAATTACTTTTATAAAATATTAAAGAGACGGTTATAATATATTATTTACCACATCTTTGATAAATTTTATTCGCCCAATATGTTTTAATGCTTAGAGTTCCACAGCCAAAGGCAGAAACGGGACTTGAATTTCTTTTTCTTAACTCAATTGTCTACTAAAGGAATGAGTGTCAATTAGTATATCTCTTTATATTTTCTAACAAGGTTTCTATATAGACCCCTATTGCCTGGTACTGTATTTCAACTGGTAAATAAGTATATATAATATTTTCTTGATATTTTAAAGTAGGTACCTATCTTGGTAAGGCGTGTGAAGCGCTGATGATAATATTCTTGTAAATCCTAAACTAACTATATTTACTTCAAATTTTGTTTGAGATGTTATCTCGTGGAGCCATTCGACTGTGTCTGATATATTTTAGTGTATAAGTGAAAAGTATTTAATAATCATTAGTAGGTATAATTTTAATGTATAAGTGTTTAAATTAATGTGATGCGTTTTTCGTTATTTAAATTTTGTGTTAACTTTAATAACCCCTCCTGAAATCGATTTTGATTAGTTGAGGGGATTGGTATCCAGGCTTTAATATGTACATTAGGAATTATTAATAATTAATTACTATATGTTACTTTATGTTGTCGTGTCTATCATAGACATGCGTAATTAGCCCGTGTGTTTTTGCACACGATAAATAATTTAAATGTTAAATTAAGTCATCACAAACCATGATTTATAGTTAAGTTTTAATTATTCCTGATGATATCGTAATCGTCCAATTCATGAAAGCCTGAGACGCCATTACAAAATAGTACTACCATCTCATTCAACGGTTTGATTGTAAAGTCGACCAGCATTCTTATATAGATTAATATATAATTCGTCAATAAACTGCTTCTTATAATGTTGCAATTTAATCTCATCATAATTGTATGTGCTCTGTGTTCAGTAATAAATAAATAAAAAGTACATTAGTTTTATTGATAAAATCATATCGTGGGTTTGTCGCCAGGTAGGTACTTAGCATTTTAATTTAGTACAAGATCATGACTGGATTGGATGAAACCTTGATGTAATAGCGAATATGCGTGTGATTTAAATGAAGGTGATTTTTTATATAATCTTTACTGCTTTTGAATTAAGCCTATATCAATATTTTTACTAATAATTACTGTTTGATTAAGAAAATAATTATTAAAAATTGCAAATATAGTGGAAAATTCAAAACACTTAGTTGAAACGCACGCCATTGATCAGACCGAATATGACGTCCAAGTATTATCATAACAGAGCGATTGGCGAACTTGTCGCTACAAATTAAAGTCGTCATTTTTCTATGTATGATACTTTGACGTCACGACAAACGCGCCAAATAGCGGGAATTTAAAGATAAAAAAATCGGTATGATATTTAAATCCATCACAATGATTGACCATAACAATATGTTTATTCACTAACAAAGGAATAAAAAAGTATACCTAATTGTATTTTCTACTGGACACTTACATATATAAGCATGTATGTAAATAAGTTATAGACACGCTTGCATATAGAGGGGCGGATTGGAAAGTGGATTAATTGTAGATATGTAGTTACTAATAGAATTTGAGGTCTATTCACTGTTCAATCAGTTCAGTATGCGTAATATAGTGAAAAAATGGTATTTGATTTAAATGAAATACGCATGGAGTAAAACTGAATAAAAACGGAAGTAAATTTACAAATTCTAGTAAATATTATACATACATACAAAGTGGGTAAAGAGTTAAATGATGTGGATAAATAACATAAGCATGTCTTCTTCTTCTTCCTGCCATTTCCAAATTACTTGAGGTCGGCGCAGTACGTCTACCATACTGCTGTTCGGTTTTGGCAAAAGTTTTACGACCGGCCGCTTGCCTGACGTCAACCCTCCTTGCAATGTAAGAGTAGGTATACTAATATTTAAAACCTAAGAATTTGAACGCGGGCAGAGCCGCGGGCAGTGCTAGTCTAAAATTAAAATCATAGTCTTTTCTCAATAGTGACATTTACATAATATATTTATAAGTACATAGATAAAATAATGGCATACATACATTATTACAACACCACCTAGTGTTAAGCTAGCAAACTGTTTAGAAGCAGCACAAAGTGGCAGCATAAAGTATATATTCTAAGGCAAATTTATATTATAAATGAATAATAGATGGCGCTCATAAAATAGAAAGCGCGTTATGGATTCACTACACCTTACTTTACATACCGTACGTGTCCATGTTCTAAGACTAAGAGGAATCTTTTTTATTGTAACAATAAAACTTCAGTTTATCCTTAAATTAAATATATTTAAGTTTCTTACGTAATTTGGTAGATCCATGGAAAACGAGAAAAAAAAATATTTTTATTAATAATAGAATGACTGAAAATCCTTTTCTGTGGTCAAAATTCCAAAGATTTATTTACTTATAGACTACATACTACATTTTAATATTATGCTAAACTATCGACTAATTACATTCTCGTTACTACAAGAGCACTAAAAGGAGCCGCAGAGGGCGTGGCGCCGTCCACGTGGTCTAACGAAGGTAACGGTTCCCCTGGTACTGGCAAGAACGTAAATTTCTGCAGCATAGTCGTAGTGAAAACAAAAATATTACATTTTGCCAAAATATCTCCCATACATCGATGTTTTGATAAGCCGAAGGGGAAAAAATAATCTGGTAGGCATATCTTGCCTTCGCTTATAAATCTCTCCGGCTTAAATCCGTAAGGTTCCGGAAATAATTCCTCATCCATCAATATATTCGGAAAGTTACTGACCACCATCGTATCCTGAAATAGGTATAAAAAATTCTCACGTTACCAATGATTATGAATTGTTCATAATATTTATTTATCTATTTTGATACCATAATCTTTTGAACAATATGGGGAAACACTATGGGATAATAATATCCCTCTATAAGATATAGCTCTCATAAGGGATGGAATTTTGATTGCCTCGAAAATTTACGTTTTGTAATTATTTTTTTCATTATTTTTAACTTTTAAAAACTTATTATTATTTTTATTTATTACATTTATTTCCTGTACCTATATTTTTTTTTCAAATTAAAAATGAGCAATTCTTGTATGTACCTATATGTATATTGTATATATACTTTATTTCACAAAAATACATACATATTGTAGTTGAAAAGCATATTGAACAGTACATTTTGAAACAAACAATTTAGACTATCAATACAAATAATACGGTTGTCTCTGCTGCCGTACTAGGAGACCTGTATTACGGCATACAGTGCCAATCCCTCAAAATATTGTCAGAATTAAATTATCTGTTTAATTTGCGAGTGTGCCATTTTGAGCTGTTGGTTGGTGCTATATGTATATATATGTATGTGTCTGTGATGGGTGTGTGTGTAAATGCGTGTGTGTGCGTGAGTGTGTGTGTGTGAGTGTGTGTGTGAGAGAGAGTTTGTTGTGAATGGGTAGTGATTATATGAAAAAAAAAAGTAAAAATATTTCATGTATCTCGTAAACGGCTCTATTTGAATAAAATTTTGTATTAAGAAAAGGTTTTAGTTTTTAATTTTATCTACATAGATATCTTCTGAAAATACCCCTATTTTTGTATCTTTTTCGAAAAAAACACGATATTACGAAAAAAAACATCGAGCAAAGCCCTGGTGCCCAGGACCTTTAATTAACGCAACTTACTAGTTAGTAGTTAGGTATCAAATAATTAGGATCAATCATTTTTTCCCATATTATTATATCCTTTTAACTTAAGAGTAATTTAATTTGAATATATAAAATTACTTTTATTAAGTTTTCAATAGTTATCTTAATGAAATTTAACTTACTTTAGGTATATGATAGCCTGCTAGGGTTGTATTACGCAAAGCTCGATGTGGTACTCCAAACGTCCTTCCCATAAAATGACGAATACATTCATGTATGACAGCCTCACAGTATGGCATACTAAAATAAAATATAATATATAATATACTAGATAAAATTTAATTTTAACATATATATTAACATTATAATATCAAATCATTATGCGAGTACATATGCTCATAATGACATCGGTAATAAATAATTAACTATTATATTATAACGTACTTTGGTCGATCATCAAGGCATGGCATACGATCTTTTCCAACAACCCTATCAATTTCTTCTTGTGCTTTCTTTTGCACTTCTTGGTCTCTAACAAGGTAGCTGAAACAAAAACTCATGCTCTTACTAGTCGTTTCCGTACCAGCCATGAACATGTCCATGCAAGTTGCCACTAGTTGTCCTTCTGAATAGGTATCGATTTCGCCGTGTTCCTTTAAAACTCTTATATAAACATCCATAAAGTCTTTGTCTTCATTACTAGGATCAAACCTCATTTTATGTTTAGTAATTTCATCACGAAGGAATTTCCAAATTCTTTTGTGAGTATTTACAAAATCAGTATAGCCTGAGGACTTTGGCGCCAAAATAGATAGTATTGGAAAATGACTGAAAACACAACCGACCATATCAATGGCTGCAAACAAGTCAAATAAGATATTTTGTAATAATATCATCTCAGGATCATCTCGCTGGTATCGTATCCCAGCCATCATTGTCCATAAAGTATTCAATATATAGGTACTGAAAAAATTGTGCATTTGAACGATGGCACTATTATTGTTATCCATAAGATTTGTGACATCTTTAACCATATGGCCAGCTTCATAAAAAGCTATTTCACCCATGCCCCTTCTTCCAAACCCAAATTCTTTTAGATGCTTTATAAGAAATTTTCTTTGCTCTCTCCATGTATCGCCATCGGTCAACAGAACACCTATCCTTTCACCCCAAGTGCGAGTTTGATAAAATATTCCTTTAGGTCGTCCGTCAATATCTTCGTTGTAAAGCATCTCTTTATTAGCTTCAACTGAATTAACCATCACTATTCGATCTTTTCCTATTTTAAGACCAAGTAGGTGGCCATCATCGCTATAAAGCTTAGACAATTCCTTTAGACTTTTATATAAATAGCCAGTCTTTTCCCGAATTTTGTTTACTTCCAAGGCACTTCCTATAATAGGTAGCCATTTTGGTCCCGGCGGAAATCTCTTAGGCTTCGATGAATCCAAATAAAGTAAAATCCCAATTACTAATAATATAACAACGACCGTCAGCAACATCTGTAAATTAAAATAATTCGTTACATTAACTAATAAATCATGTCATATGATAATTACCTACTCGTGCAAAAAATAAGAACGACAAGGGATCCTTTATTACATTTACGGCACCTACTGGTAAAATCAAACTAGTATTCAATAATACAAAATTTGAATTGAAACACATAAAAATTGAAGAAATATATATTGGTTTATCTGAATTATATATTATAATTATCCATACATAATTGTAAAACTGATGTTTATAATATGTTTAAGTGCTTTAAGCTCAGAAACTACTGAGCCCATTTCAAAAGTATGAGCGAAACACAAAAAGCAACGTAACGTTGTAAAGTTGAAAGCTCAATATGGCGACTCCCAAAGATAGGACTGATTTTTATGGATATTAAATGAAAGGGTTTGCTGAGAAAAATGCGAAAAAAGGTAAAAAAAAACATCAAGAAAAAAGTTTAAGCATTTTAAAAAACAAGCTTTTATTTAAATGCTCTAAAAAAACAAAGAAGTATAACTTCTTATGTGCGTACATAAGTACCCACATACGTTTTTTTCTAATTTTAGCGCAAGCGAAGCCGTGGGTTCTGCTAGTTATTATAATATATTATTTACACATAATGAAAATAGAAAAAACCTATAGACTAAATCACATTGGCTATATTGAAAAAGTTTTTATTAACATTTAGTGTATATTTTTTTACAATTATATTATTTATTAACTTTAAAAAGTCATAAACTGATAGTTATAGTTCAAAAGTAATAAAATAAATTGAAAATATAACTACATGCTATAGGAAAAACCTATTCAAATGGATGGAAAAGCTTAGCTAAGCTTCATATCGTTCCAATTATTTTTGATAAACCATACGACATACTCGTAGCCGATTGCTAGTAACGTACGAGTATATTCTAAAAAAGTTTGTTGACAATAGCATGAATATTTTAGTACTAAAACAATAACTGTCAAGAGCACAAAGTTATTTTTTGGAAAATGAATAAAGCAAGCAATATTGATAAATAAGAATATCTATACATATAATAAAGTTGTCACCAAGCCGAATTTGTACATTAAATATTTTTTTTTAAATCTTATTGAAATAGACATTATTATCGATACAGAGACCGAATCTATAGTTTTTTAGAATTTTTGTCTGTCTGCTTGCCTGTCTGTCTGTTACCGCATCACAGAAAAACCACTTGAGGGATTTTGATGAAATATAGTATGGGGATAGCTGGTTATCCGGTCAACATATAGGATACTTTTTACCGCTGGAAAATATCTAATTTCTGAGAAAAAATACAAAACTACAATGTAACCTATCCTTTCACCCCAAGTATATACAGATACTAATATGTAAAACCTAAGAATTTGGTTTTTGGTCATCTAATAGCGGGCGGAGCCGCGGGCAATGCTAGTATTTTATATATTTTTATTTAAATCTTACATGTTTTAGGGGGAGAAATAAGTTTTATATGATCTTAAAATATGTTAAGACTTATTAACGTAGGTACTGCGGCTTACTATTCTTTTAACTTTTTAGATAAGCTTCCCTTAAATGGTAAATAACCGCTAATCCAGTATTTCATTTATAGTATAAACCGTCACAAATAAACAAAAAATGAAACACAAAGGTGAAAGCTTCAAATATTGAACACTATTGTATAAAGCTTACACGAAAGTACATAAAAATAATAAACATTCAATTCGCTTTTTTGTATTGATACGAGTACAAAGGAATTTTCAATTTTAGTATTTTTATATTATTGTTTACCAACTGTAAGCTCTAACTAAACAATTGGAGCACAATTTCATAACAACTGGCGCTCTTTCGAAAGAAAACAGATATTTAAATGAACTTAGTATTTGACTTTATTATATTACATTTAGTGAGTAGGTACTATGAGTATTTGTGAAGCTTTTCTAAAAAAGACATATTAATTCCTTCAAAAAGCGCAGTTTTCCGATAGCGATTAAGTAAATATATACCTACTTCTTTGAAATATGAGTTATTTTTGTGCCGTTTAGAAAAAAGTTGGTGATGTTACTCTGTGCCTCGAAGAACAAGTAAAACCTCCGCTCCTGCACCAAATATCTTCTCAGGCGGTTCGTTTGCTGTCCCACCGGGGCTTGAGACCGAAAAAAGTATGAGTAGGTATACTCATGTCTGCGCACACACTTGTGCACTATAATATCTCACAAGGCTAGTCTCAGTGAGTCTGTTGATCAGATTTGACCGCCGTAACCGAAATCCGCAGGAGGGCATTACATTTTATATAATACAAATACGTATATGTCTCTCTACCCGTGGGCGCCACTTTTGTTGTAAATACCATCGTTGTCACATTGACATACAAATGGAAACCAAAAATTTGGTTTAATGAGTTTACTGGCTAAATGAAAACGCATAAAATAATTTACTCTATAATGAAATCAATAATTTTAATGAACGTTAAATATTTTGTAAAATAAATATCGATAGAATCAAACTCATGTTTCATTTAATTAAGCTTTCGGTTACATTAGAGCTTCACAGATTGCCTATTAATCTCTATGATGGAAAATTCTACGTAACGTAATATCGTAATATACCTTATATTTATGTGTTAATTGCTTAAGAATGTGATTTTAAAATATTAATATTGTGAAAATACTTAGGATTAACTAGAAACACATTTTTTTAATTATAATGTGCTCGCAGTTGCCTTTTTATTTAGCTCCACCAGAACTAACTAAGCAAGACCGAAAGACGATTTTAATCTACTTATAATATCTTATCAATTTGAAATTTTATACACATGTTACATTAAATCCTGATCAAATTAATCATAATTAATTGAATTGAAATTAATTATAATAATTATTATTATTATACTATATACGACATAAGCTGCACTAAAAATAGCAAATCTATGACGTCTGTCTACGATTACTCTTATGTGTCTGCCCGTTTGCACGGTAATGTTATAACATTGCCGTGCCGTTGGGTGGCTCACTTCGACACGCTAACTCCTCGAATAGCTCCCGCGCCGCCCGCCCCGCCACCACCGACCGCAAATATAATAATTATTTTGTCGTGCGTAAGTTATTATCTTGCCATAACTTCTGTAATATTAGCTTAAATTATATAGTGTAAGGGACAAATATTTTCTATATGTATTAAGATAATACACATATTTATTAAGAAATAGATTTTTCTTTAAATACATACAATAGTTTCGTAGATATATACTAAACATACACACAAACTCTCAAAATTCTTACTTTACACATAATGAGAGAGAGAGAGAGAGAGAGAGGTTGAACCACCCTCTGGCGAGATTAGACCTTTAGAAATACATTTTCTAAATACTTTGTAGAGATCGGCCAGAGTGAAATTAAGTTTCTTTAGTCTGCTTCGACTTGATGCTACAGTATTATATAAGCGTCTACTTGAGTTTGAACGAATTTGTTCAATAACACTGACAAAATAATGACGAGATCTATAACTATAATTTTATTCAAATCTGTTTCGTTTGGGTATAAAAAAACATGAACATCAAATTAAACACATCGAAAGTCTTCCGGATTCTGCATTTATTATGTACCTTCCTGTTCAAAGTCAAGACTGTAAGAGCTTTAGTTTAAACTGAACTAAAATCGATACTATATATAGACTTTAAATTATAAAACCTATTCATTTACGTTATTTTTTCTCCTAAGCATGTATGTATGTATCTATCACATTCTATAATTTTGTGGGTAGGTAGGTACTGTAAAATGTAGGTATTTATATTAATAAAATGAAATATATAATGAAACTCAAATAATATCACTATACAAATTAAATAAACTGCACAAAAGCTCAAAAATGCTTTAAAACACCTGTCGGTCTGGAAATCTTTTATTCCCCGGATATAAAATTTAAATAATAGTGTCAAAAAATATTTATAACATAACTTGAAGTTCTTATTCTAACGGAATATTTAATTTCTCGAGGGTATTACTAGTAAGGCAGTAGAGGCAGTGGTAGCCCAGTGGTAACGCGCTCGCTTGGGAAAGCGAATGAAGCGTGTTCAAATCCCGGGTCTCGCACCTCTGATATTTTCATGTGCGAATCATTTCCAACATGATTACCACTTGCCTTACGGTGAAGGAAAACATCGTGAGGAAACCTGCATGTCTGAGAGAACCTAGCAAGTTTTCGAAAGACATGTGAAGTCCGCCAACCTGCATTTGGCAAGCGTGGTGGACTATGGCCTGATCCCCCTCGTATTGAAGGGAGGCCCGTGCCCAGCAGTGGGACGTTAAATAGGGCTGAATTCATACATACATTACTAGTAAACACAATGTAAGTGTTAAGTAACTATTTTGCTTAAATATTTTAAAATAAATGCAGTACTTGCCACTTACCTAAATCGTGGAAGTTTTCGTTTTTGAGACAATGTTACCTATATTTAGCCTACCAGTGTATTTTTATTATTATAAAAACTTTGTATTTTAATAAATGTGATAAAGAGATTAAAATGTAATCAAGCTTAATCAAATGTAATCAAATAGAATTTTGAAGTTTTGTTATCTTACATATTATACCTGTTATAAATGTGAAAGTTTAGATGGATGTTTTGATGATTGAATGTTTGGATGTTTGTTACTCAATTACGCCAGAACGGCTCAACGGAACTGAATAATGATATTTGGCACAAAGATAGATTATAGTCTAGAATAGCACATAAGCACATTATCCCGGAAAAATGTATGGTTCCCGTGGCATAGACTTGTTATTGTTATTAGATGCAAACGCGAGCGAAGGGAGGGTGAGCCGCTAGTTTGGGATAAAAATGTAAAAAGTAATTATTATTTACTTTAATTTTTTGGCGCATCGGAGTTCGCGAATTAAAAGTTATATTTTATTTTAAAGACATTAAAGCCAAGGTCTGTGGCTGGGAAAACCTAATCTTATTGTTCTTAAAATTCTGGAAATGTAAAGACTAAGTTAGAAGAATATATGTTTTTTTCAGATGAACAG